ATCTGTGCCATCTTAATCAAAGTCAGGGATATGAAATGTGCCATTTAAATCAAGACCAAGGAGATAATTCTTTTTTTAATAACTCTTTGTAAATCCCTGAATGTCATATTCCATTCAATTTCAGCTCTGTAAAATAACAGTAAGTAAATATATGTTATTATGAAGCAAACCTCTGCAATTTCCTTCCAGTCATTCTCAGAGAATTTTAAAATCTCTTTGATTTCTTGGCTTCTGGTTGCATTTTCTCTTTGAAAGAGGCTGCATTCTTGCTGAAGTACCTCAGGGCCTGCGATGAAAGGATCGTTGGCATCTATGGGGATGAATCCTCTTGGTGGAGGCCTATGTTGAAAATATGGGGAGAATAGTAAATCCCTATTTCTAGTAAGAGTAATAGTATACAAATGGGTGAGAAGTTACTAAAGAAAGTGTTACACTACCAATCAAAAACTAGCAAGTCTCATGTTAATCATTATTAACAATATCAATTGCAAAATGCTGAGGCTTAAGTAGTCTAAGTAGTTAAATCTGAAAATTCCACAGAATTTATCCTGGGGAATTGAATGTCAAAAAATTAAAGGTTACAGCAAAACTTCACATAATCATCACCCAAAAAAACTTTTAGCATCACATCTATGATTTCTAAATGAAGATGACTCCCTTGTTCCTCAAAGGGATCACTTACTTGAAGAGACCAGGAATAAATGTGACAGAGTCAGCATTCAGTGGCTGTCCCTTCTTTGCTTTAGTTTTCTGGGATTGCTCCATTTCTGTAACACGAAGCCAGGCAATATCTGAAAAACAAGATCATTCAATAAATAATCATCATTAATGAGAAAACTAATATTCTCTACTTTCTTGTTATAAAAAAGGAGTGTTTCCTACAATCTGCCATTGCTGACAATTCAGGAAGTAAGCTAGTCAAAGAAATAAGAGATGGTTATTTTAGCAGAAATTCTGTGTTACAAAGCATTTGTCAAGATGGATATCATGTAATAGAAATATACCTAATATGATTATTGGTTTGATTTTTTCTATGTAAAAGCTTCATATTAAAATTAGAAAGACCACATTCAATCATTAATCTCTTAAAACTTATACATGCACTCAGTCAGCGAATACAACCATGAAGGGAAGAGACCACAAACCAAAACTAGTTTATCACTAAACTTTTCAAAGTTTGGACCAAAATGTATGAATACCATAATGAGGATTTAGTTGCTTTTCTCATATATAATGAAAATCTCCTTCTGTTTAAAAAATGACCATAATAAACTACAACAGTTGCTCATACCATGTTAAACACATGGATTCCTCACAAACAAGACCACCAAATATTAATGATGAAATGATAAAATAATAAATTCTCTGTATTTTAATAATGAAAAGATGATAAAATAATACATTCTCTGCATTTAATTCAACACCTAGCATGCGTTCAATATTTGCAACAGAAAGAGCAATGGCAATCATGTCAGGAATAATGATAAAAAAACATGTTACAGTGGCCAAGACATTCAAAAGAGATCTGTGTAAAGATTAAAAGTAATTTCACCACAAAATACTTATAAAGAAACAATTAGAACTCTTATACAGAGATAATAAAAATATGTAAAATAAATAGCAACACTAACAACAGTCCTTCAACATTCCTACTTTCACTTAAATCATGCATGTCATTAAATCAGAAAAAAAACAAGCAGAAAGAAGAATGAGTAATTAAAGTCTCAATTTACTCTCCTTCTGAAATAAGCGGATAAAAGCCACTTTTTCTTTAAATAATTAAGAAGGGCAGACTCACACCTCAATTTGAGTCTTCTTTCTTCTTTCTTCTTTTATAGGGTTTTAGACTATTGTCTAGTCCATATCCCCTGGATCTATTTTCTTTCTTCTTTCTTCTTTCTTTTCTTTATATTATTTCTATTAGTTTCGTTTTCTTCAGGAATATTTTTGTGTCTTAAAATATAGTCCTTCTTTATTGGTGGGAGATCAGCACCTGTGAGTAATAAGTCTATAATAATAATAATAATAATCAAAATAATAATCAAAATAATAATTAAATAATAATCAAATAATAATCAAAATAAATAAATAGGTCTATATTAGGATTATTTATTTTGATTCTTTTTCAAGCTTCCATCAGGTCTGTTCTGTAAGAGTGAAATCTTGGACATTGTCGTATTATATGTTGTATGTTTTCTTCTTGGTGATGACACTATTTGCATGTTGGGTCATTTACTATTTTAACTTTATGTAGATGTTGGTTTAAAATCTGTTGTGTGCTGTTTTGAGTCTGGTTATACACACGTCTAGTTTTCTGTTTTTTCTTCTTCTTCTTTCTTCTTTTATAGGGTTTTAGAATACTGTCTAGTCTATATCACCTGGATCTATTTTCTTTCTACTTTCTTCTTTCTTTTTTTTCTGTTTTTTGATCTTGACCATGGTCTCGCCTTCATTCGAGTCACGCCACATGAACGTTTTATTGACGTCGCTTCAATAACGAGTACAGAGCAAGCCCGCTTTCCCTTGACACGCGAGAGCTAATCTTCTGTTGCCCAAATAAATCGATTCTTTATAAACTCTGCATTATGTAGAGTTATATTTTATAAGTCTTGTGTAGTGTAGTTTCCAGATATATTCAGTGGAAAGTATTTTACCTCCATGTTATTGTTGAAAGGATACTAATGCTCTCGAGATTTATAAGACCTTTATTATCACTTACAGGGGGCTTCCAAGTTTCGCCAGGGCTAAATTCATCCCTAAAGGTGTCCTGTATTTATATTCTTAAAGTTACATATATATATGTGTGTGTGTGTGTGTGTGTGTGTGTGTGTGTGTGTGTGTGTGTGTGTGTGTGTGTGTGTGTGTGTGTGTGTGTGTGTGTGTGTGTGTGTGTGTGTGTGTGTGCGTGTGTGCGTGTGCGTGTGCGTGTGCGTGTGTGTGTGCGTGTGCGTGTGGTGTGCGTGTGCGTGTGGTGTGTGTGTGTGTGTGTGTGTGTGTGTGTGTGTGCGTGTGTGTGTGTGTGTACGTGTGCGTGTGCGTGTGTGTGTTGTATCCACGAAGCAGGAAAAGTGTAAATAACTTGAAAAAGTGCAGATACTTGAGCAAAACGTTCGCGCGCGATCCGACCGAGGCCACTTGCGTGCGCGTGCACTTGTGTGTCAGCGACGCCAAGGGCCTCAGTGCCGCTGCTCTTGCGAGAGGAAATGCGACCAATAGACCAGGTTGAATATGGCGAAGGCGACGGGGAAGAGGAACTTGGAGGCGAGCTCGAAGTGGTACTCCCAACGCTGCAGCTTCTTCAGGCGCTCCAGGTCGGGGCTCGGGCGGGGAGGGACGCCGCCCTGAGGAGGAACCGTGCGTGCGCTTTGACAGACAGACATATAACTAGTACACATACACACACACAGTATGTATATAAACAGGCAGGTAGATTGGCACATATGACTATCTATATACGTACATCTATCTGTCTGTTCATCTATTCATCTATCTCTTTATATATGTCTCTTTCTTTCTCTCTCTCTCTCTCTCTCTCTCTCTCTCTCTCTCTCTCTCTCTCACTCTCTCTCTCTCTCTCTCTCTCTCTCTCTCTCTCTCTCTCTCTCTCTCTATATATATATATATATATATATATATATATATATATATATATGTATATATATATATATATATATATATATATATATAATGATATATATATATATATATATATATATATATATAATGATATATATATATATATATATATATATATATATATATATATATATGTGTGTGTGTGTGTGTGTGTGTGTGTGTGTGTGTGTGTGTGTGTGTGTGTGTGTGTGTATGTATGTGTATATACATACATACATATATATATATATATATATATATATATATATATATATATATATATATATGTATGTGTATATATATATATATTATATATATATATATATATATTTATTTATTTATTTATTTACACACACACACACACACACACACACACACACACACACACACACACACACACACACACACACATACACACACACACACACATATATATTATATATATGTGTGTGTGTGTGTGTGTGTGTGTGTGTGTGTGTGTGTGTGTGTGTGTGTGTGTGTGTGTGTGTGTGTGTGTGTGTGTGTGTGTGTGTGCATATATATATATGTGTGTGTGAATTTGAATATATAGATAAACATTTACGAAAACATTCTGTGCAGCGGTTTTGCTGAATGTGGTTATGAGTTAGGCTTCACTTATTTTGCAATGTGCACTTCGAAGGAAAAAGAAACCCCACCTTTTTCAACAAGAGTGCAGAAGTGCATGACCGAATTCTCAGGTGTGCATTACGCAAGAGTACAACTTTAGATTCTTAGATAACCATTTCTGAACTTTTACAATTGAATAGATGGCTCAGTGTTCATGGGTATACCCCCATTTTAGTACCCGTGCCCATAAGCCGTATTGTAGACCACGCCCTAATTCTCATGGTTTGCAGTCAGCACTCATGAAAAATACCTTGGTTATGCCCATGTCGTACTTACAGGATCGGTGCCAGACAGCAAAACCGTCACCTTGGGAGCAGGTGCGACTGCGGCTCTCTTTGCCTTATCCTGGCATCGCCTGATGCTGGAAAGGCGGAAACAAAAGGATCTTCTCAAGTGTGAGTTCCACTTCGTTGAAAGCTCAGAGAATATGGTTATGGAGAGAGACTACAGTTCTCTAGAAACGGATCAGTCACAATGGCACAGGAAACACTTTATCGTTTGATGTTTTCCTTACCATATCTTTGTATCATATTATATATACATTTAATCTTTATACACATGATATCGTACTTGTCTTTTTCTTTTTTTCTACCAAGAATGGCCCCTCAGTATAGCTCATAAACTGTCAGTCAAGTCTCCTTCTTAATGGCCTGATTCCCTTCCTATCGCCAACCCTCCCCATTTACCCAGTCTTGGGATCGACTGACTCCCCAGTAAGTGTAATATAAGTCATAAGC